AATAACTCAAGTTTAACGGTGTGCGATCCATTAGGTTCTAATTAGCAAGGTTGTGGGCAATTTGAACTCTTCGTAATTGATTGTGAATTAAAACCCCTTTTTAATTCTCCCTATTAGTTAGGATCATTAGTCCTTAGGGCTTATGCCATCCATGAGTGACACCTAGCAGTATGTCATGGATATTCAAGCTAAGTAGAATAAGTAGAGGACCTATTCAGTTGGAATTACAATGCAATACGGTCCTTCCCTATTACAATGCTTTTAATCTCATTACTAGGGCATGGTGCATGTCAAACCCTTAATGAGATTGTCACGTCTTATATGATTTGTATTAGTATGACAAGAACATCCTTCTAGGTCATACCGAATACTCTGATAAGAGATTTGCTTAATCATATCTTCCGAGCATTCTCCTTCTTTACTGAAGGATAGAGATTCCATGTAGTACACTCACATGTCTCCATGAGTCAATCGTGAACCCCAACAAAGCTTGTACCACATCTGTGATTAGGACATGTCTTTATAGCATCCTCAAAGATCCACAACCTTCCCACAAGACAACCATGGTGCCTCAGGTCAAACGACTAATTTGCATTATTGCAACTTTGAGTTTCTTGTTTGACATATAAGTAAAATTTCCATACAAGAAACTTTTGTTTGATCGCGTTCAGTGAACTCATTCTCTATTGAGCACCTACATACTTGTCTCAGTGTCTCCACACGAATGACTTGAGACTAGTCATCCTCCCAATTGAGAAGACATAGCATGTACCGATCTTTCCGGATTGTCAGTGCCCATTTGACAATCCTATGACTAGGAACATTTAGGGCATGAAGATAATAGAGGAAAGGTCTCCTAAATCTAACTTCCTTAGATTACTTTCTCTCTATCTCACATCCCTTGGACTTATTGTTTAAGCATGTGTAACTGTTAATGAGACATTTACTAATAAACAATAAAATTGCCCTTTAAGAGGATTAAACATAAATCTAATACATGAAATATCCTTAAAAGATTACTTCATATGATTTGCTTTTAGGGCATATTTCCAACAATATATATAATACGAGAGGTAAAATTCAAACTCTTATCATGAGCGTGCAATCAAATGTTATTCGATTGAAATTATAAATTGAAATGGAAGGGTTATGAATGATTGAATGTTGGAATAAAATGTTCTGCCAAAAGGACGTGGGAAGTTTATGAAAGTCATGCTTCAGTTTACAATGCTTTAGCACCAATAGTTTCCATAGCTCAAAAATTGACAAATATACCACAAAAAAAGAAAAGAAATTACAAGCAGCTGTTGTGAGTAGCGGTCGATGAATTTCAGGCAAAAAAGGGTCGGTGTCCATAGAAGTCACAAAATATCCATCCCTTCAAGGGTAGTTTGGAACTCAAAATATCCACTTCTTCAAGGCTAATATAGACATTTCACCTAACCCACATTTGGTCAGTTTGGGTTTGATAAATGGTGTGCTCGGACCCTAGCATCTCTCTCCTCTCAAATCTCTATCTTCCAAAGCTTCGCTCTTTCCCCCGTTTTCCTTCTCATTTTCTTCCCAACCGAACACAACGCCAACTTAGACCCATCAGCACCTGCAAAGTTTTGAGCGAGAGAGACACAAAGAGGTCGTTTTAGTGAGGGAAAAATCAGATATTTTTATTCGTCTTTAAGCAAGAGATGGCTTTGAGGCGCCTGATCACTCAGGTCGGTGAAATCTTCAGCTAGGCTTCTAAATCTCTTATTTTATGCAATCTGTACCTTTTTTTTTTCTGCGATATACATGTTTTCTCAATGACAAAGTTTGTTTCTTGTAGCTGATCTCAAAAACCCTAATTCCCATGTTTTGATTGTTTAGGAGTTTAATCATTGTGATTTAATTTCTGTAACCATCTTCTGCATATTCATATTGTTGCGTGATACGGGTCTGCTTAGGTTTGAGTTGTAAGGGTGTACAATAAAGAGATGTTTACGTTGTGAATATACAATGAAAAGATTTTTGCCTTTTGGCCTGTTTGATAACAAAGAAAACGTATAAAATTGGTAATTCAATGTTAAAATCTGTAGTGATTGGGTTCCCAATGGAAGATGGACCATTTGAGCTCATTACGAAAATTGGGTGTTATGTGAAATTTCATATTCTTTTCGTCTACCCTTATTTCTCAGCAATGGAGCATAGAGTTAGTTGAGACCTCCTTTTAGGTGGTTTAAAGGATGAATATTATTCAGGGAGGTTGCATTTTTGCTTTGAATAGGAGTGTATTTGGTCAGATTCTAAGGTTTGGGTTACCTCTTTTTGGCCTCAAAAGGAGGATGTATGAGATTTGTTTTTTTCAGAAGAGCGTTACGGTATGACTGGGGGTTGAGGAGAGAAGATATGGTGCCCTTTCTTACTTAATTTCGGTAGGAAAAAAAGGGGCCAAAATAGGGTGCGCACTCTCATCCATATCCCTCCCTTGCCTTTGCTAATTTGCTCGTGGTTTTTTGATTAAATTTTGATTTGCTCTCTCGGCGAGCAAAATGCTGGAACGATTTGATAACCCTTTTAGACATGCTTTCTTTGTTCCGTCAGGCTCTATTTAATTCCATGTTCTTTCTACATCAGGTTTCAAGGCATCGATCAGAGTTGGGACAACTGACGAAAGTGATTACCAGAACTTATCATCCAGTCAACAGGTTAGGAGGAGGTGCTGGAGGTATGATGCATTCAAAATATTTTGATTTGTGTACGTGTTTTGTCGTCCATTTCAAATTGCAAAGAACTCTGCTGCTTGTTTATTTTATTGTCAAATTTGTTCCTTTGGGTACTTAGTTTTGTAGGCTTTAAGTGAAAGATATAACACTCTTCTCCATTATCTTCATTTATAGAAGTGATCACTTTCTTTTAATCCTTGTGCAGGGAATAAGTTTTTAAGTACTCAAGAGAGGTTTAAGTCAAGCTATGTTGGTAGTTTTGCTCGCCGAGTACGTGACACAGATGAAGCTAGTGAAGTTGCCCATCTAAAAGAACTTTACCATCGGAGTGATTATGAATCAGTGATAAGATTTTTTGAAAGTCAGCCATCATTACATTCTAACCCTTCAGCACTTTCTGAATACGTCAAAGCATTAGTCAGAGTTGGCAGGCTGGATGAGAGTGAGTTACTCAAGACATTACAGAGAGGTGTGTAATGGAACAGATTGCTTTTCCCCTTGTAATTGTTACTACCAAAATTATGCTCTATTTTGTCTTTATCGTGTATGAATTCCCTCTCAATATGTGCTAAGATTATGAATAGAGTTGGATTTTGATAAAAATTTAACTAGATAAGGGTTTTGTAATATTCCTGATTTCTTGTACAATTAAATTTCCTTTTTCGTATGATTATTTATATGGAGCTTCTGAGCTTCTGTTGATTTTTCTAGCAAAAAATTGCACACTTAGTACATAGATTTTCTGAGAGGTTTTTTCACCTCCTTGTCTTGTGAATTTGAGCTCATGAGCAAAAAGTGTCTACAAATTTTGTAGGTGTCGCTAACTCTGCACGGGAGGAAGAAAACATAGGTGGCTTCTCAGTTCTCAGGAGTGTCGGAAAATCATCGAAGGATGGTATTCTCGGAACTGCAAGTGCTCCTATTCATATGGTGGCCACAGAAGGAGGTCAGTTTAAAGAGCAGCTGTGGCGTACCGTTCGCACTATTGCACTAGCCTTTCTTTTGATATCTGGTATAGGAGCACTCATTGAGGATAGAGGAATAAGCAAAGGTATTACCATCTCTTGGCGCTTTAGGTTCTTCTATGAATTGATTAAGATGCATCCTGAAAATAATGACATCTTTTCCTTTAACTTTTCTGTTTCCACATTTCAGGACTTGGACTAAATGAGGAGGTTCAACCTAGCATGGAATCTAACACAAAATTTAGTGACGTAAAGGGTGTTGATGAGGCTAAATCGGAGCTAGAGGAAATTGTTCACTATCTTCGAGATCCTAAGGTAGATGCATCAACATTATGCTTGGCAGAATATGAAATTGAACACCTTTACATCATCACCTCATGCCCCCTGTTTTCTGAGATGGGGGTAATATCATTACTATTTCATCCTACCTAAGAAGATGATATTGGAAGTGACCTATTACAGCAAAAGACTTGAAATGGTCTTCATTCACTCTTCAATTAATTTTCCCCTTGTTTGTATTATGTTCCTTCAAATCAATTTGAAAGTACATCCTTGAATGCCAAGGGTTGATTTTGTGGAAACCTAGTGTTTCTGAACATTTTTAATAGCTGAGCCAAGGAAATGGTTGATATGCCAAATCCATCCTGATTTTCTTTCCGTCTTTCCCATGCTTGCAATGTATTTATCTTTTTGTAATGGTACAAAGTGTCCCTTAATTTGATCCCCCTTTTTGCAGCGTTTCACTCGTCTAGGAGGCAAGCTACCAAAAGGTGTTTTGCTTGTCGGCCCACCTGGTACTGGAAAAACAATGTTAGCAAGAGCCATTGCTGGAGAAGCAGGGGTACCATTCTTCTCATGCAGCGGCAGTGAGTTTGAAGAGATGTTTGTTGGTGTTGGAGCTCGAAGGGTGAGGGATCTTTTTGCAGCTGCAAAGAAGCGGTCCCCGTGTATAATATTTATTGATGAGATAGATGCAATAGGAGGAAGTCGAAATCCAAAGGATCAGCAGTACATGAAGATGACTCTCAATCAGTTGCTTGTTGAACTTGATGGTTTTAAGCAAAATGAAGGGATTATTGTTATTGCAGCAACTAATTTCCCAGAGTCCCTGGACAAGGCATTGGTGAGACCTGGACGGTTCGATCGGCACATTGTTGTTCCTAATCCTGATGTTGAAGGGCGGAGGCAGATTATGGAAGCGCACATGTCTAAGGTAATCTTTTTCTCCTTGAGGGGTGAGGTTATTTAGTTCGAATAGTAAACTTGATATTTAATTGACTCCCTCTTGGTTTTGAAAGCTCTTTGGTCACAAACTTTGTCTGCAAAGGCCTCTTCCATTACACGATAATGAAACATAATATGTTTGGGCTGTCATGGTTATTGTGTATGGGCATATCTTGACCTGATAAAGTCTGTCTGCAAGTTTCCAGCCTTATTACAATTACAATTTTATCAGTTTGAACTCAGTTCAGTGCTAGGAATCATTAGTTGGGATGGTGATGATGCTCTGCCTAGCCTTAGTTGAAAGCCTCATTATTGTGCTACCTGTGGTCCCAGTTGAAAAGCCAAAATCATACTGAGAAGTGGTCTTTACATTAGCTAGACTGTATTCTTGCTGATAGTTTATCACCACTATTGCACTGTAATAGTCAATTTCCATTTGAGAACTACACCAAGCACCGTTTATAGTGAAGAAGTGCAGTAGGTTAGATACGCATAAGTTCTATCACATTAGAATAACATGATCTTTATTTGTCTACTGGAGGGTGCTTCTTGCTTTTCCTTTTTATGACTGCATTCTGTGATGTTCTGCTGTAAGGTATTTCTGATGCAGTAGATTTTTTAGGACTAGAAGTCATTCCAAGACTAATAAAAATGCCCCTTTGACAGGTTCTGAAGGCCGAAGATGTTGATTTGAGCATCATTGCTAGAGGAACTCCGGGGTTCTCTGGCGCAGATCTTGCGAACTTGATCAACATAGCTGCTCTGAAGGCTGCCATGGACGATGCTAAAGCAGTGAATATGGCTGATCTTGAGTATGCAAAAGACAAGATTATGATGGGAAGTGAACGCAAGTCGGCTGTTATATCTGATGAGTCAAGAAAGCTAACAGCTTTTCATGAGGGTGGCCATGCACTTGTGGCCATCCACACTGATGGTGCTCATCCAGTTCACAAGGCAACAATAGTTCCTCGGGGTATGTCACTTGGCATGGTTGCCCAGTTGCCCGACAAGGATGAGACAAGTGTCTCCCGGAAACAGATGCTTGCACGGCTCGATGTTTGTATGGGAGGGCGGGTTGCGGAAGAGCTCATCTTTGGAGAAAGTGAAGTCACTTCTGGTGCATCTGATGATCTCCGGCAGGCAACTTCGCTTGCTAGAGCAATGGTTACAAAGTACGGTATGAGCAAAGAAGTTGGGCTTGTCAGCCACAATTATGATGACAACGGGAAGAGCATGAGCACAGAAACTAGGCTGCTTATCGAAGAAGAAGTGAAGAACTTCTTGGGAAGGGCATACAACAATGCAAAAACCATCCTTACCGCACATAGCAAGGAGCTCCATGCCCTTGCTAATGCTTTACTAGAGCAGGAGACACTGACTGGAACTCAGATCAAGGCCTTGCTTGCGCAAGTAAACTCTCAGCAGCAGCAACAGCAACAACCACACCAGCAAGTAGTTGCAGCAAAGAGTAGCTCACAGTCAAAAGTGCCACCCTCAACACCCAACACAGCTGCATCTGCTGCTGCCGCAGCCGCTGCAGCTGCAGCGGCTGCAACTGCTGCCGCCAAGTCAACAGGCATTGCTCCTGTGGGATCTTAGCATGTGTCAGGTTGATGAGTTGCGGACATCTATTTATCAGTGTCTGATGTGCATATAGTAAAAATACTCACCAGCCATTCTGTCTGGGTACCTTAGTATGCTGCCAGTGACGTATAATTTGTGTATCGCCGTAGTCAGATTGACTGGGAATGTAGACGAATTGAATGGCAAGTCAGTGTAGGAGTTTTAATTAAGGCACTGGAGAACATCCCTTGTCTATTTTTGGTTCTTCTTCTTATCTTCTTTTTCTTCCTCTGCGATGTTTGTCATTTATACAATTAAGAAAATAATGCATTCTTGATTTTTGCTCAACTCTTTAATTTTCACTTTGCTGTTTCTGTTATGCTTCCAACAGTCCAAAGGTTTGTGATAATGATAACAAGAAACTGTTCTGAACAAATTTGGCAATGCAATTTTTGAAATGTTAGAAAAAAGTTTTGATTGCTATCGTTTCAGTGAAATCATTTTATCCTCAAAGTTCATATTTTTCCTATTTACTTTTTGTGGTGCCCAAACCAAAGAAAAAATAGAAAAAAGAAAAAGAGAGAGAAATAAACCAACTCGGACAGCTTAAACTCAATCCGAACTCGGGAAGTTGAGCCTGAGTTACACCGATTTATGAACCTAGTTTGTCCCACTGTAGAAAATTAAAAAAAATCTCAGATTCTTATAGCACTTCTCGATAGGCGGTTCGAGTTCGACTCGTCCTCCGCTTGGCGCCATAGATAGTACAAATCTCGTTAGTCCAACTGTAATTCATGTCGGTGACTCGGCCGACACCGACTCAGAAACAACCAGGTTATCAGATAACTTGTCTTCCCAGAATCTCTCTTCACTTTGCTGCAATTTAGATTTAATGACCATAGATGCTAAAAAGCAAAGATTTTCCAAAAACCCAACTTCATAAAATCTTAAATTTATGGTCTTTTGGGCGATCAAAGGGCCTCTGTGTAAGCTTTTTTATTTTGGGTCAAAAACTTTATCTTTATGGCCTTATGGTCCTTTTTAATGTTTGATACCTTAGATTAAACAAATGGGCAATATGCATACATTTTGTTCCTGCCTAAGCAGATTCATAAAGGGGTCTCTGTGTTCTGTTACATCAATTGTCTGCATGAATTCTTTTGATCTTTTATTGAATTCTATCTGCAGCAATTCAACAGCGGAGAGTTGTTATAGAAAACAAGCACGGGGAGAAGCTTGTGGGGATATTACATGATACGGGTTCAAAGGAGCTCGTTGTGCTGTGCCATGGCATACATTCTTCAAAGGTCCTTTGGCTTTGACATGTTATGCACTTGATACTGTTTTTTTACCATTGTGCGTAATTCTGACATTCTTCAAGTGTGTCTTTTTTCATTGTATAAATGAAAAATTCAAAAAATTTGAAACATTTAATCATTAATCAAATGATTAAGAACAAGTTTTAAACTTCTGGATTGATCTACCTGTTCTGTGTTACCGTCTGTCTTCTTGTGTTTAAAGATGGTGGGATGGGATGAGATGGATCTGACAGTCTTCTCATTCTCTCTAGGAACGCATACCTATGGTGAACCTTGCTGCTGCCTTACAAAGAGAAGGAATAAGTGCTTTCCGCTTTGACTTTGCTGGAAATGGGTAAGATGTGTTTGCTATATTGTTATACAGGACTCAAGTCTTGAGCATGGAACTTCTCATGTATTTACAAGAAGCTGTTTATGCTATACCTCATAGGGAAAGTGAAGGTTCATTTCGATATGGTCACTATCGGAGAGAAGCAGATGATCTACGAGCTGTAGTTCAACACTTTCATGTGCAGAATTATGTAGTAACTGCAGTTGTTGGGCACAGTAAAGGTGTGTCTATAACTTTTGCTCATTTAGAACCAATGCCTCATTTGAGAAACAAAAGGAGGGTTGGGAAGATATCTTAAAAGTATTTAGGACTTTGAACATAACACACTGTATCAGAGTCAGAGATAGATGCCATGCTATTGCTGTCTCGTGAATGGCACCGCTAGCATTATTTGCCATCAATTGTCTATTTATGTATGTTCCCCTATTTGTTAAGATTGTTTGTTGGGTTTAGTGAATACTTCTGTAGAAGATTATTGATCAAACGTTTCTCTCAGGGGGAAATGCAGTGCTCTTGTATGCTGCAAAATATAATGATGTTCATATGGTTGTAAATATTGCTGGTCGATTTAATCTGGAAAGGGGCATTGAAGGTCGCTTAGGTAAAGATTTTCTACGAAGAATCAAGCAAGATGGATTTATTGATGTTAAGAACAAAAGAGGTAAGCTATCATGTGCGCTTATTCTTATTTTCCGTAAACATCAGCTGTTTTTTTTTTTGGTTATGTGGTAACATGTCTGAGCCTATATCATCTTCATTCTTTCAACGCTGTGTGGAATTTTAAAGTCATCTCGTTTCAAAACTCATTTATCTAAAGCTCATAATTGTAAATTTACGCATTTCTGCAAGGGTTCATGTTTCCTCATCCTTAGAACCTGGATATTTTTGGGGTTTAGATTGACTGTTCACCTGGTTGATTGTTGACGTTAATAGGGACATTTGAGTATCGTGTGACCGAAGAAAGTTTGATGGAGCGTCTAACAACTGATATGCCTGCAGCCTGCCGATCAATTAACCAGAATTGCAGGTCAGAAATGACAATTATCCTGTTCCAAACTTCATTTCTCCAAAAATGGCGTTGATTGTAGGTTGTTCTACATATTCTATTATTTGCAGGGTTTTGACAGTTCATGGATCAATGGATAAAATGGTTCCTGTCGAAGATGCTTTTGATTTTAACAAGATCATACCAAATCATAAAGTGTCCATTGTAGAAGGAGCTGATCATGAACACACTTCACATCAAAATGAGTTGGCTTCAATCGTGTTGGACTTCATTAAGGAGGATTTTCTCCAGGAAAAATTTATCCATTCACGATTTTGATCCTCAACCCATCAAAAGTTGAAAATTTTCTTTTTCTGGTCTGGGGCGTCCATGTCTGGCCATGTATTGGGAAAACGATTTCAACTATCAACTTTTGAAGACCAATATTTTATTTGTTCACCATATTATTTGAAAAAATCACCAGTTCTTAGATTGCAACCGAGCAATCATATATCATGTTTATGTAAAAAAAGGTAGTAGAAGTAAAAATAACCTAATAACCAACTAAAAACAGAGGCAATGCAGATAAGTAACATCCTCAAACACGTATACAACTATTTATCACATATACACTACCCCACTCAACTATGCTGTAACAGTTCTCGGCTTAGCCCCCATTTTTCTCCAAGAAACACTGGGCATTATTTGCTTTGTGTCAACACGATCCTTGTACTTGATAGTAAAATTGAGCAATGAATCCAAAAGAGAGTCTGAGAGAAGGTGAGGTTTAAGTCCCAACTCGATAAGTTTGGTGTGTTTGGCATTGTAGTAGTGCTCCTCTGCTTCAACTCTTGGGTTTGGCACAGATGTGGTTTGCACATCAAGTCCAAGCTTTTCTCCCGCTTTTGTGACAAGCGCAGCAAGTTCATTGACAGAGAACTGCTCAGTAAATTGATTGAAGACCCTAAACTCACCAGCCTTCGCTGGATTTGCAATGGCAATCTCAACACACTGAACCGTATCTCGGATGTCAAGATATCCCCGGGTCTGGCATATTAAAGAACATAAATATTAGTAAAATGGGAAATAATGCAAGCACGCCTTTTTTGAGGCACTTGAAAAGAAGGCATGTGTATGTGTGTGTGTGTGTGTGTGTGTGAGCGTTTGTGCTTCATGTACAGGGCTTTTACCTGACCCCCTTTGCCATACACAGTAAGTGGATGACCAACAGCAGCCTGAACACAGAACCGGTTTAAAGCAGTTCCAAACACTCCATCATAATCAAACCTGTTGCTGAGCTTTTCATGCATCTCGGTTTCATCCGTTCTCACCCCATATACCACTCCTTGGTTTAGGTCAGTGGCTCTAATCCCCCAAGCCTTGCAAGTGAAGGCTATATTATTTGAATCATGAACCTTACTCAAATGGTAGAAAGAGCTTGCTTGCTTGGGGTAGGGCAAAGTATCTGTTCTTCCATTATGAGTAATTGTTATGTAACCTTCTTCAATATCAATATTTGGAGTCCCATATTCTCCCATGGTCCCAAGCTTCACTAGATGACACTCCTCTCTAAACTCTTTTATAGCAAAGAGAACATTCAGCGTTCCCATCACGTTGTTTTGCTGCGTAAATACTGCTCTTGACCGATCAATCATGGAGTAAGGAGCAGACCGCTGTTCCCCAAAATGAACAACAGAATCAGGCTCAAATGACTTGAAGGCTTCTGATAAGAACTCAAAATCACAAACATCACCAATGTAGAGTTCAATGGATTTTCCAGTGAGAGATTTCCAGCAACGGATGCGATCATGGATGGAGGAGATTGGAGTCAGGGAATCAAGACCAAGCTGGTGGTCAAAGAGACGGCGTACAAGGCTATCAACAATGGCAACCTCATAACCTTTCTTGGATAGGTGAAGGGCTGTGGCCCAACCACAGTAGCCATCTCCACCAATGACCATTACCCGCTGTGATTTAGGTGCTCCACCAGAGCTCTCATTGACGCCATAGCTCGGTTCCTTTGGGGCTTCCCTACTTGGAGAGAGTGTGGTTGCGTGCACTGTGCAAGTACTTTGTGACCTCCCCCCATGCAAGAGAAGCCTTCCAAACGGGGTTTTAGACGTCTGAAAAGTTAAAGAGGTAGGCAATACCAACGAGTCTTGGATCAATGGTTTAGTGTAAGGTCTACAACCAGAGGAGAAGTTTATAGAGCACGAAGTTGAAAGCAAATGTGCCATCAATGTTTGCTGCGTCTTACTGATATTCAGATATGCCTGCAAAGAATTATCCAAATACCCAACTCCTTATCTAAATACTAAAAAAAAAATTCAAGTAGCAAAGAAATTAACATAAAAATGTAGCTCTATAAACAACACTATACAGCAAAACGGAGAACGCAAATATTTCAAGTGTAGCAATAACCAATTATATTTTGTAACTACCCAAAGCAACTAGATGCAAAAACCAAGTGGAAGCGAAACGGGTTCATGACAATTCAAGGCAAAACAAGTTTCTGTGTTTGGGACTTCACAACAAGCATAGAAGATGCACAGCTGAAGTGTACACACTGTGACACACACACACAAAGCACACTTCTTTAGATACCCAATACATTTCTAACAAATTTTAAATCTTTGCTTTCTTCTCAAGGGGTGAACATAGCAAACCCAGCTTAAAATTCAGGGAAAGAAAAAGAAGAAATACAAGAGTAAATGCAGCAAAATATAAAGTAAAAAGGAAAACATTAAAGTGAACTATCACCGTAATAGGATCAGCAGAGAGTGCACGAAATCACTGTGATGAAGACTGGATTTGTCTGGTGATAGATAAAAGGTGAAGATTTTGTTGGTTTTGTTGGGGTTTTGGGGAGGAAGGAGAAGAATCAAAAGCAATAAGCGGAGGTATATCCCTTTTATCCACTTCTCCAAATGGGCTCAACTTAGCTGAAACTAAAATACACTGGTCGAAATTAACAAGCCCATATTGCTTTAATGGGCTCATCTATGCCCATGTGATTGTTTTGATATAAAGGAAATATTGCATTCATAATTTAGCACAAAAGCCGTCAGTTACAAAAGCTGATACAAATACAAATAATTACAAAAGGTTATTATAAACATGAAAGCACGTTAACCACAAAGAATTAGTCCAAATACGGTCACACATGGCCAAAATTCCTATGCCCATGTGATTGTTTGCACCAATGGAGGGAGGCAGTAGATATTTCTCATAGATTAGCATATCCTCCTGATATCCAAGTAGCATATTCTTATTTAATTTCGGTAAGGCAAGCGGTATATTCCAAACTTTCATGAATATAAATGTATTTTGTTATTTTTAAGTAGGGAACAGAGAGAGATGCATAATTCATCTTTAGTTTAGTCTTTTTCTTCTGCTGCACAGAATCCGCCTTGTTTAGCATAGGATAAAATGGAAATGGTACAACCTCTGTTTTGCTTTTTCGGCTTCACCAAATTGTCCCAAAATCAAATCAGCATTCCAACGTTCCTGCATAGTTCATAGGTGTATGTCCAACAAATAAGTAACAACCATTCAATTCAACCATATCCTGAATCAAAATCCACCTGGAGGCTAAAGAAGAAAGTAGTAGTAAGTAACAACTTACTTTGAGGCCCTTTAAGAATATAAAATCTGTGAATTTATGTAGGTACTTCACTAATGTCGAGTGGAGTTACCACGTGGTTGTGTGACAAGGAGGTGTGGAGCTCGATGTGGAAAATATGGAGTTGAAATTACGGGTGTGGAGCTCGAGGAACATGGGAAAAATCATAAACGAGTGTCATAATGGACGTCTATAAAAGAAAACAATGGGAGAAAAAAAAAAATCAAAACTCCTCATGCTCAGAAAACAAAAAACCTAGCTCCGCCAATTTTCTTCATTCACATTTCTCTTGATCTAAACCTATCTCCTCAAACTCAGAAATAAAATGGCCTATTCATTCCCATTTTCTCTTGATCTAAACCTAGCACCACCAACACAGACATGGGGGTAAGGGGTTGCACCAGTGTGGATGCCCTACTTCGCTTCCTCATGAGGACCAATAACCGTAAACGACTCATTACCCATTGACAACGATGTTGCCATTGGAGTTGCAAGGAGTTTTGTGACTCCTAGGGATATGCGCGTGTTGGGAAGAAGGGATGATAAGCAGGTGGTGAGTGATGCTATGGCACTGAGCGTGCAAAGTGTGGCGTCAGTCATAATTGTGGGTCATTGCCACATTGTGAAATCCCATGAGGTGCAAGTGCTAAGAAGTCAATTGGTGGGAGAACGGAATTTGGTTGTAGATTGTCAGAGTACTATAAGGAGATTGAAAAGGGAGAGGGCAAAGACTTTGGAGGAGATGCGACACCAGCTTGAAATATTGCATGAAGAGATAAAAAAAACTATCAAAAATGATAAATTTTTACTCTAAGGACATGCAAGAGCAGCTGGAGGCCTTGGATTGACCAGATAAACGTGCTCAAGTGATGAGCCCCAAGAAGCGGTGCGAGAAAACCCGAGAGAGGATATCCAGAGGACCAAACTAAAGTCTCATATTGTGGAATTAGGAAGCGCGCCATAATGTTGTTGTTTTTTTTTAATTAATGTAGTCCCTTGTTTCCTCTTTTTATTTTATTTTTTTATAATGTGAAATAAATTTTTTTTCTATCTTTTTTACTTTTAAATTTAACAACGCAAATTAATATGCAAATCATCCAACTATAAATACCCGCAAGTGTACGAATCTATTGGAAACTAGGAATGAGTAAACATGTTATTAACCAGGTAACCTATTTAATAACCTGTTTAAGATGACCCCAACCCGACACGATACGTTTATTAAATGAGTCGAGTTTAGGTTGAGCATTTTTGACACAATTATTATCCCGATATGACACGACCCATTGCCATGCCTAGTTGTGTCCCTCCCCCTTCACCCTTCTTGGCACCTAGTATCGAAACCCTAGGGTTTTTTTCCTCCAAATATAACCCCAAAAAAAGGTACTTCATTAACAAAATTTATTTGTTATCATACTAAACTCAGTAATTACCAATAAATACCTACATGAGTTTATTATATGGTCAAGCTCAAGAGGTAAAAATTCATTACTAGATCGAAACAAATAATACCAAAATGAAAGAGAATCAAAATGAAGACGTGGGGGCAGCATTCAGAAGCTTTGAGGACAAAGACCATTGAATTTGAATCCCAACTTCTCTCTCTTACTCTGTTGCTCTCGAATCACATGTACATATTTACATTTCTCATTTGCCCAAAACATAAAAACATAAAAAGATTTATGCTTTTTAATGTTGTAAAAGGGAAACAACTCAGATACAATCCTGTGGTGCTTGTTCGGTCTCGCCCAGCTGTACAATCATATCCCCTTTCTTTCCATTTTAGCGATCACCTCTACATAAACTGAAGGGCATCATCAGAAACAAAAGCGCAGATAAAGCAGAGTGCGAGTGAAAATTCAAAGCCTTTTTTATGCCTACAAGCATTCTATCATGTCATAATCAGTATTATTCAGAAAAGTCTTCCTTTTGGAACCCAGAAAGGAAGAGTGAAGTAAGGAAGTGAAAAGCTCTGTTTGCTCTCAGATCTCTGCGTGTTGTTGGGTCATTTGATTTTGAGCTTCAATGGCAGAGTCAAAGAAGTACATTTCACAGGAAGACCTTAGCAAGCACAACAAGCCAGGAGATCTATGGATCTCAATACAGGGAAAGATCTACAATGTCTCAGACTGGGCTAATTACCACCCAGGTGGTGAGCTCCCATTGTTCAATCTCGCTGGTCAAGATGTCACAGACGCGTTTGTTGCGTACCATCCAGGCTCGGCATGGCAGCATCTGGACCAGTTCTTCACTGGGTCTTATCTCGAAGGCTACTCTGTCTCTGAGGTATCCAAAGATTATAGGAAACTTGTCAATGAATTCACTAAAATGGGTTTGTTTGAAAACAAGGGACTTGGGGTTCATTTTTCGCTGTTTCTTGTGGCGATGTTGTTTAGCTTGAGTGTTTATGGTGTTTTGTACTCTGATAGCACTTGGGTGCATCTGGGTTCTGGTGGGTTAATGGGTTTTCTTTGGATTCAAAGTGGCTGGCATGGACATGACTCTGGGCACTACCAGATCATCAGCAGCAAAAGACTCAATAGATTTGCTCAGATCCTCACTGGGAATTGCCTTGCTGGCATCAGCATTGCCTGGTGGAAGCGCAACCACAATGCCCACCACATTGCATGCAACAGCCTTGAATTCGATCCAGATCTTCAGCACATGCCTTTCTTTGCGGTATCTTCGAAATTATTCAATTCCCTCACGTCTTATTTCTATGACAGGAAGATGAATTTTGATGCTTTTACAAGGACCTTGGTTAGTTACCAGCACTGGACATTTTACCCTGTGATGTGTCTTGCTAGGCTTAATCTTTTTGCTCAATCATTCTTGCTGTTATCATCAAAAAGATTAAGGGTGAACAATAGGGTTCAGGAAATCTTGGGGCTCCTTGTGTTTTGGATTTGGTATCCTTTGCTGGTTTCCTGCTTACCCAATTGGGGTGAAAGAGTTATGTTTGTTGTTACAAGTTTTTCTGTCACTGGAATTCAGCATGTTCAGTTCTGTTTGAACCATTTTTCTTCCAGTGTTTATGTTGGTACACCTATTGGGAATGACTGGTGTGAGAATCAGACTAATGGGTCACTTGATATAGTGTGTCCATCTTGGATGGATTGGTTCCATGGTGGGTTGCAATTTCAGATTGAGCATCATCTGTTTCCCAGGTTGCCTAGAGGCAATCTCAGGAAAGTTGCTCCTCTTGTTAAGGAGCTATGCAAGAAGCACAAGCTGCCTTACAAAAGTGTATCCTTCTTGAAGGCCAACGAACTGACCATTGGAACGCTTCGCACTGCAGCCCTGCAGGCTCGGGATCTTGCTAGCCCAGTTCCAAAGAACTTAGTTTGGGAAGCTGTACACACTTATGGATGAGATACACAGCTTGTGAAGCTTTAGCTTTTTGAGGTTTTGATGGTGTGGTTATTTATGCTCAATGACAATAATGTTGTTAAAGGGGTAAAATAACTTATTTTGATTGATATCTGAAGGGTGGTGATCCTTGATTTCAGTTGGAACAATAATAATCATCTTTAGGACTGCTTCTGAGGCTTCATTTCAGATTCTGGTTTTTACAAATATTTATGCAAAGTTTGTAGGATCATCATCAGCTCATGTATTTTCTGGAGTAGGTGACAAACTATATGTACTGATTATCCGCCCGGTGATACGACTACTTCTCCTCTCCTGTATGTGGTGCTCAAAATCACTGCTAGAGACTTGAGATGTAAAGCACTGTGTGCTTTGATTAGTTAGTTAGTTTGTTTCTGATAGCTTAGTATATATTGTGGCACTTTGGTTCTCTCTCTCTCTCTCTCTCTCTCTCTATATATATATATATATATAAGTATTCGTTTTTAGTGATTGGAATTTCTTACTGGAACGTTTGATGGTATTGGTTTTGATTCAATTCCAAAATTAAGTTTCAACTTAGATGTTGCATATAGTTAATTCTTGGAGTTGCAATTCCTAATCTGCCATATCTCATTTTCTTCCCTGTATTATCTTTACAAGGGATGTCTCATATTGCAACACAATCTTTTGTCATAGAGGGATAGCACATTTTGTACCGGCTCTCTAATAGAGGTGGAATTCCGCTATTAGAGATGCAGTGTACAAAAATGTGATCTTCCTAGCATTTTTCTTTGTAATATTGTAATGTTGTAGTAAACCAAGTTTTTCTTTGTGATATTGTAATGTTGTAGTAAACCAAGTCACACTGCCATATCAACCCATATGCAATAAATCCAATTACCAAGAGAAACATTGAAATGGGAACTTAGAAGAAGCACGAGAAGGTCTTATCATCATGTATAATTCAAGCCCAGTTACCCTGCAACAAGATCTTTTGCTTGATTTCCAGCTCTCTCAAATTGCATGCATAAAGAAAATAGAATTTAAACCAAAGCAACTGACACATGATTGTAAAGATCTTCTTTTTATTTTTATTTTTTGGTCAGATAAACCACCTAAAATTCAAGAAGTTAAATTTCATTTCCAACAGAAAGATAATAATTCAATTTTCAAAATTGAAAATGGCGCAACCACGTAGACTATAACCAACACACGTCCCTGATTTCTCTCTCAACACAAACAAACCCTATCTCGACTGAAATTTCTCTACCTTCCCCAAAATTCTCCGATCACTTCTCACCTTCCCTTTCCGGGTTTCCCCCCCAAACCGATAAAAAAGGCTTAAAAATCCCACCCAAAAATGAAGCACCAAACTTGCGCCGCTTGTAGATTCCAGCGCAAGAAATGTACCCAAGACTGCCTCATGGCCCCATATTTCCCTGCAACCAGGTTTCAACAATTTCTGAATGCACACAAACTGTTTGGTGTTGGCAAAATCACCAAAACCCTCAACAGCGTCTCTCCTCAGCAGAGAAGCTCTGCCATGTACAGCGTCAAAGCCGAAGCCGAGTACCGTGCCAGGGACCCTGTTGGTGGCTGCTACAATGAAATAAAGTCGTTGCTGTGGAAGATCAGAACAACTGAGGATGAACTCCGACATGTGCATTCTCAGCTTTACATGTTTCGTGCCGGAGGAGAGAATGCTATGGCTCAGCCTTTAGACGGCTATGAATACAATGTCGTTCAAGAACTTGAAAATGATTCGCAGCTTCATCATCAACTACAGAAGAATATTGTTCAAGAACAGAGCGATGTTGTGGAAAATCATCAAGAACAGCGCAATGTGTTTGATTTAAGGTCTGACGGAATGCTTTGAAACAAATTTCTCAACTTTAGTAGGAAAAGAAAATGCCCACTTGGTAATTGTTCATTATCACCAAGAGAGTTCCCTATTCAATCTCCATGTATAAAGTTTGTAGCTTTCATGTTCTTGCTAATTATTGTCACTTTTTTTTTAATATTAACCCCAATTTATTTATTCAGGGATGAAGTTGTGCTAGAACAAGATGTCAACCCATTTCAGGATGAGGTTCCAGTAATTCACAACACTACTTCTCAGTTACAAAGTGGTAAAAGATGATTGTTGATTTTGCTATACTAGTTCAGTATCTCAGTTAAATCTCATGGAGCTCTGTTTTCTGTACATCAGATAGAGTAGAAGGTAAAAAGAAAATGAAATGTAGATGTTCCAGATACCTTTTTCCTCGACAGATAGTTTTATCTAAATAGAACTATATCAGGAAGACACAGTCTCTTATCTCTCTCTCCCTTTTGTCTTGATTCTCACTAAGCTATCGCCAAATTTTTGTGCTGCTCTAGTCTGGTAAATCACCGATTCGATTGAACTCTCCATAATCGTCCTTCCAAGCTTCTTCATAGAAACTCAATCCTTCCTCCGGGAATATCTGTGACAGAAAGAAATCACATTGAACATGGTAAAAACAGTTTTCGTAATTGCAATGAAGCATAAGTAGGTCTTACCTCTCATATATGAAGTAGATCCAATGAACTATTCTGATAAATTTGGTTTTGGCACAAAATCATAGCTATAGTTAACTTAAAAGGGATAAAAACGTTCAAGTGGAGTGGTAACATTACGCGGCGGTGTTCAAGTACCATTCTTAGTCTTGTAATCTGTCTGGAGGCTAGCAGCAGCATTCGTTTCTGAAATTTACTTGGTCATTAGTAGAATAAGCAGTAAGGTTATATGCAGGTGAATACTTGAGTTAACGGCTTGTAGGTGCTTAAGAGCTTGCTATATTCCATATCCATGGTATTTGGTCTTCACCTAACTTGTTTTAAGTTTTCTCATCTTTTTCATGTAAGGCATTTTCATAATGTTTACTTAGTGTGCAGTCCCTCTGTGCATACAAGTTGATTAGATGGCTAATTAAAAGGTGGCAACAGAAAACATTTCTGGCCTGATTGGCAGCAGAAAACATCTTTTTCAAACAAGTCCATTGTCATAATGTTTGCTCTTTATTACTTTCATTTTCCTCACCATGGATTTGGTTGCTTGAGTAATAAGTATTTAATTCCAAGATTGCATTATGGCAGTGACTCTAAAGTTCTAAAGGAGCTGACCTCTTAAGCCCATCTGGCCACCACCATGCCCTGGCCCCAAATTAATTTCTAACCAATGCAGCTGAACAAAAGCAAGCAGACTGAATCAAATCATACATTTAAGATATTTAAAACAATCAGGTCTTTTTATTTATTGAAGATTCTCACAAACAATGGCTGCAAGAAGAGTACAAAACATCTTCAGTATGCATTAATTCAAGCACAATGAAGTTTGCCCTAATAACATAATGCTGTCATCTGAGAATGAAATGATCCTCAGGGAGTGCTTTCTGAATGGGAAGGTGAAGAATCAGAAGTAAGGTCATCTAAAATAGACTTTGCCCCATCTTCTCTAACACCCTTTTGCCTAATATCCTCAATCATCCGATGCACCATGCCCATTGTTGGACGATCTTTAGGCAATGGAGACACACACAGCAAACCCACCTGCAAAAGAGCCCACATTTCCTCCTCCATTTCTTTGTCTCCCAGAAGCTCAAAATCCAGCACTTCCCATGTACTGCACTCTTTCTGCAGCACCATCTTAACCCACTCCACCAAGCTCATCTCTCCTTCTTCACCAGCCGTTTTTCCAGTCAAAATCTCCATCAGAACCACCCCAAAGCTATAGACATCACACTTTTGTGTAAACTTTCTTGGGCTTTTACTGCTGGGAAGCATCATTTCAGGGGCTTTGTAAGCGCTGTTTGATGAAAATGGAGCAGGCAAGAGCTGCTGGAGGCCAATGTCTGCAATGCAAGCGCTGCCCATCTGATCCACCAAGATGTTTGATGAAGTGAGGTTTCCATGAAAGAGCTTGGCTTTGTTGCAGCCATGGAGGAAAGCCAGTCCTTGCGCAGACCCAGAAGCCAATTTCAACCTTGTAGCCCAATCCAATGGTGTTCTTCCAGGTCCTCTGTTTCCATGCAACACAAAATGCAAGCTTCCTTTGGGCATGAAATCGTAGACCAAAAGCAACTCATAGTTGGAATTGTGGTACGCTCGGAGGCTCACAATGTTACAGTGCCTCAGCCCACCAATCTGTCTCAAAAACCCATCCATTTCTTTCCCGCCATTTCTCTTCTCCCTCACTCTCTTCACCACAACTACATCTCCACCATCCATCGCAACCTTAAAAGTGGTCCCCACGCTGCCCTTCCCCAACATCTCAGCCGACGCCTTCAATAGATCACCCACCTTATCGACGCCCCTGCACCCTTCCAGCACCACCATATCTTCGCTTTCTCTGGGTCCACCACCAGGCCCGTGCCCGTTAAACTGGCCCAAATGGGCTCCACCTTTGCTCTTCTTCTTCTTCAATTCTCCGGGCCCGTAGTGCTTGCTCACGTAGCCGAATCCGTTGGCTGTCTTGTTGCGGGTCCCGCCCTCCACTCTCTTAGTGCGCCGACACCACGTGGCGGTCACGACTATCACTAACAACGCGACAGCTATGCCGACGATAATGATCGTGAGCCGCGCAGCGTTACTCAAAACGCTGTCGTTTTTCCTACCCAAGTCCCTGGATGGTATGGACGAGTCAGGGACCGTCCGATTGGAGCATTCGTACGGCAAGGGTTTGCCGCAGAGATTCCCGTTTCTGGCAAACGACGTCGCCGCGAATTTAGACAGCCACGCAGGGATTTCGCCCGAGAGGTTGTTGTGCGAAACATTGAAGTCCAAAATCGTACCGGTATCCGAGTCAGCTGAGCCGAGAGTCCCGGTGAACGAGTTGGACTCGAGACGGAGAGTTAGCAGGCGAGGCAGCTGAGTCAACTTGGTCAATGGAATGTCGCCGGAGAACTGATTGTACGAGAGGTCGAGTCGACGGAGATTGCGGAGGCGGGAGATTCCGGCGGGGAGGATTCCGGCAAAGCGGTTGTGGGAGAGGTAGAGGTGGTTGAGGTGGGGCAAAGACGAGAAGTCGAGCAAGGTGGAGAGCAGGTTGTGGTTGAGGCTCAGGACTTTGAGGTGGTCGAGTTGGCTGAGTTGCTCAGCCGCCCCGGTTAGGTTGAGGTTCTCGAGCACAAGTCGGGTGACCCGGCGGGTCTCCGGGTCGCAGGTGACTCCGAGCCAGGAGCCGGAGCACGGGTCGGGTGAGGCCAACCAGGAGGAGAGCGAATTGAAGGGGTCGGTGGAGGCTTTGAATGCCAGCAAGGCGGTGGTTTCTGGGTTAGAGAGAGAAAGAAAGAAGAAGAATTGGAAGAGTGAGAAAAAGAAGGCAGAGAGAAGATGAAAATTCCTCTGCTTCGGCGACATGTTTGTTTTCCGTCTGATTGTCGAGAAAGTTGCGGGAAAAAAGAAAAAGAAGGGGAAGGGAAGGGAAAAAGAAGGCCAGATAAGATTGTTAATTACCGTCAGTAACTAGCCGTTAAGAGACGTTGGGTTAAACGACAATTGGTTGTAGCCATTGGCGTGGGCGAGTGGCTAAATCTGTGTAAATTTGTTTGTGGGTGGGGGATTTTGGTTGAGAAGAGAACGGTGGCGATAAAACGTTTTTGGGAGGAAGACAGAGACAGTGGTTTTGGCGGTATTAGCTTTAGCTAGCGAGGTTGCTGCTGGCAGTGAGAGTTGAAAGCGACGACGACGTTTCTTGGTTGCAATTAATGGCGCAAACGCGTTTCTTAATTTGTCTACTTATTACAGGTATGATGAGGAGTAGGAGTAGGAGTAGGGTAGTGTCTTTTTTCAATTTTAGTAATGAATTTTGTTGATTAAGTAAGAATATTATGAGTATTATGTTATCATATCCAAGGAAGGATGTGTGGTAATACAATTAATTGATTGATTAATTAAGAAAAATATAATGTGAAGTAATGTGGGTTAAGTTAATTGGCCGAGACAGTGTGCCCGTCCACCTGAGTTCGAACTTCCTCTCCGTTCATTAGGATGGGTATTTTTAAAAATACATAATGGTGGGAGTTTGGACTGGACCTGCCAATTCCTAATGCCCAAAGGATCCGATCCAGCCCAATTTGATGTTCGCTGTTGTACTAGGCCAGCCCATTTTTTAGGAGCAGCAGCCGACAATCAAAGAATTGTTAAATTTTTATTTATTTATAGAATTTAATGGGTTGGCACCTTTTAAGGCATCCCAATTACAAGGTAAGCTCATGAACATGAATTTGAATGGGTTGGCACATCGGCCGGTCGGGGCGATTCTAAACCTTTTTCAGTCGGGCCCACGGTGATTGCGTAATCCTGTACTAATCTTTTTTATAACTAAATTACTTTGCTAATCAAGATTACCAAAATGTAATGCAGGCAGACCAATTATTACCCTCATTAGTAAGTACAAAAGAAGAAGAAAGGAAAATAAGGAAGGAATAAAGAGGAAATAGTGTGAACGAAGCAATGGAATTAAATCTGAATTTCCATTGTTTTTGGTGGCAATCTCATGAAATCTGAATAAGACTTTTCCCAATTCTCACTCTCTCTTTTGTGCGTAGAAAAGAAAAGGAGAGGAGCCTATAAAGCTTCTGACTAAAATTCCAACTGCCCCCCCTCTTGTGAACCAACCCAGACCAACAACACCACAGGAAGCCACGTGCGCCCGAATTTAATCCATCTATCATCGCCACTATCACCATCATGCCTTCCACTTAGAAAAATCCCATTAAGTGTACCAACATTTTATCATTAGTTTTTTACTCTATGATCCCTTTAAATCAATTGAGAGAGCTTTATTATGATCAACATTTTACTTCCCTTATTACATGTTCATTTTTTGGAAGGAGAAAATGATTGCAGTACATTTCTCTATCTTTTTGGCTCCGAGTATATAGGTTATGACTTTGACAAGAAATACTTCCCTATTCCCGTTGTATTACTCTTTTTTCTATCGTTCTTTTTTTCTTTTTTTTTTGTTTGAACCATAAGGTGGTCCTGGATGGGCCCCAACTATAGGTGGCACCTTTAAGCCTTAACCACAACCCAGACTAATCCCCACTCACACCGGGTTGGCCCATAAGGGGTAAAGTGTTGGCCAAAGTGGTGACTCTTTTTTTTTTGTTTGAACCATAAGGTGGTCCTGGATGGGCCCCAACTATAGGTGGCACCTTTAAGCCTTAACCACAACCCAGACTAATCCCCACTCACACCGGGTTGGCCCATAAGGGGTAAAGTGTTGGCCAAAGTGGTGACTCTTTTTTTTTTGTTTGAACCATAAGGTGGTCCTGGATGGGCCCCAACTATAGGTGGCACCTTTAAGCCTTAACCACAACCCAGACTAATCCCCACTCACACCGGGTTGGCCCATAAGGGGTAAAGTGTTGGCCAAAGTGGTGACTCCGTACGAGAGCTATCGTTCTCTTCTTTGATAAGTGATGTGAGTAGACTTATTCCCGTTGCATTACTCTTTTTTTTCATATTGCTCTCTTCTTTGATAAGTGACGTGAGTAGAGAGACGGGAAGAATAGGACAATGAAAGTAGGATGATGTAATGTGAGTGCCTTAGATTTCTATTATTAAGAAGTGGGAGTGGCATGAGTAAATCAATGCAAAGGGAACAAGGGTTTTAAATACCGTGGACCAGCAAAACTCACACTTATCAAGTGAAAGACTGAGAGAGATCAGAAAAAGCAGATATATTGATCGTCGTCACTGTGTGTGATTCTGTGTAAAACTCATCGGAATTGGTAAAAGAGGACACAAAATTCACAACCCCTTTTTTCTATTGGATCGGTAAAGCTCAGAGCTCTGTATTTTTCATTTCCCAGATAGTTAGTGTAGTTTTACCCCTACAAACATCTTTCTGGGTATTTTGTTCAACATGGTTTCTTTCTATTGGAATCTGGAAAATCTCGAACCAAAACGCCATACTTTAAAAAGCAAAGTAAAACCAGCTTGCATTTTCTGCTCTGTTTTACAACTATCATACTCGAAAAGGCTAAACGAAACAGCCTGTATTTTTCTTAAATGCAAGTAGACATTTTTGTGATCCTCTGCTCCTGGCCTTCTCTGAAAATTCTGCAGAGTGACTTGCTACACAATTTGAAGCTTTGAAGGCAAGTTACACAGAAAAATAATAAGAATGTAGCAGAAAGAGAAAGTATTATCAGAATGCATTGCCATAAAAAAATTAAAAAAAATCAAATTCACTTCACTTACATCACCAAAGTATCAAGGAAGAAGGAAGAAGAAAGAAAAAAAAAGAAAAGAAGGATTCTAATTTGAACCCCAAATTTGCACTTAAACCTACCCCCAACTTGTATCAACCTGAAATTTTCTTGTAGCACCAATTTTATGATCTTTTAATCCTCCTCGAAAGTTTACAAAGTCCCCCTCGAAAAATTCATTATAAGAAAGAAAGAAAAAATTGCATTGACGTAATGAAAACAACCTTAATTAAAAGGTCCATTTCCAGATCTTGATCCGAAGATCAACCTTGCACTTGGAGTTAGCAACCGAAGCCACCGACGGGGACTTGCCTTTAGGTACAGCCCCTTTAATCCCTTCACACGTAACCCTAATGCCCACCTTCTTGCTCTTCAACTTCCCCATCGCCACCTTCACTTTGGTGTCCATCTGCAACGTCAACGCCACCCCGGTCTTTTTCCTCAGATCCGATCTCAGAGACTTCACCGACTCGACATCGAGATCCTGAGAGGTCGACAAAATGGAGCGAAAAAAGGTGCTGTTTTTGGTGCCGCTGGTGAAAGCCGGGATCGACCCGTTTCCGATTTGGACGTCGCTGGACGAGAGAGACAGAGCAAAGGGCTCGTAGGAGAAGGTGAGGTGGTTGTTAGGGTTTTTGGTGGAGAGGGTGAGGTTGAAGAGGGTAGTGAGGTGTGAAGTGGATAAGTCGGAGGAGGTGGTGAGGTTGAGCTTGGCAATGCGGACGGAGGTGAGTGTGAATTCAGGGCGGTGAGGACGGTAGAGGATGTAGACGGCGGCGCCGGCTATGGCTGCGAGGAGGGCGAGGGCTAAGATGATGAGGATGGACCAGAAGCAGCAGCAGCAGAAGTTGCAGTGGCAGTTGCTCCTGCGGTGTCGGCGGTGGTGGTACTGGGGTTGTGGGCGGTATGGTTGCCGGAGTTGGGGCTTGGTGTTTGATGGGTTCGCTGTGGCGGCAGTGGTATTAGCGACGGCGGGCACGGTGGCGCCGCCATTGGTGGTGGGTTTGGAAGATGGGTAGACTCTGTCTGTCATTTTGAGAAATGGGTTGGGTTTGGATTTGAGAGAGAGGTTGTGATTTGGTGTGAAGTTGTGTGAATTTGTGAGGTTTTTGAGAGAGAAGAAGGAGAGGGATGAGAAAAAAGGAAAGAGATGGAGGAACCAGAAAAGGGATGCTTCCAACTCACCCAATGTTTTTCTGCGTGTGAAGGCTCTTTCCTGTGAATTTCTACACCGGTAAATTAGGAAGCACTAGCTCTAAAGCTTACCGACTTAAGCCTACCTTATCAATAAATTAAAAATAATTAAAAGAATGAATTAAAAAAAGATATTAAAAATTGAGCTCTCCTCTTGCGGAAAAAGCTTGTATGAAACGGGAATAATAAATGTTTTGCTATTTTTGACGAATCACATATTGTCATGTGGAAAGATTATTACATATAATAGAACATTATTAATCGGAAATAGCAAAATAATGTTATTTTCGTTTGATATAAGTGTTTCTCCTCCTCATAGTTGAGTCTTCTTTGTGATGTTTGAGAATATGTGATATCGTTTGCATGGTCCACATGTGATGGAGTGAATTGTCAGAAACGTGGGCTCCAGTCCTTTTATAAAAAAAAAATCATTTTGTTGCTAGATTTTTCTTTTATTTTCCTCCATTTTCATGATTCCCTCCCTTAATAAAAGACATAATTGCTATTTCTAAAAATGTCAAGAACACATTAGGGTAGGTAGGTGATAAGGAACCAGAAAATCAAGCTTTAATGACCACCGAATAATTTTACACGAAGTTTCGAATTATAATCTGGTATTAGAGAGAAAATGATCCAAATATTAAAATGGGATTATGGGACCCTTTTACCAATTTGGTTGGTAAGATTATTTTATTTCCTTTATTTTTTTATATAGGGTTCAATGTATAATGTGTATATAGTATGGGTGCCGAGGGAGACAGGGAAGCAAGGCCAATTAAAGCAAATAGAACCCCACCGACGACTCTAGGTAAACAAACAGTATTTATTCATTTAAATTATGACTTTTGATGCAGGTTTCACAGTAATTAGTTAACTAAACTTTGGTGGTCAGTGGCTCAGTGGTTGCATTAACTTGACTCCTAAGTCAATTATGACCCCAATTAACAATGTTGCTTTCGAGGTTGGAAGCCATTTTTTAAAAATTATTAGCATCTAAATGAGTGACAATAATGGGATAATAATCCCAACCAACTTGGATGGCAATGAAGGATTTTGTACTTGAGTTACAGATATGTTGCGGTATTAATTTCAGCACCCACTTTGGTCATGTACACTGCCCAGAAATTTGTATCAGATCGGCGGGGTGCATTAATCAGAAGCAGAAAGAGACCAACTTTTGGGACTTGGGACTCTTTGAGATCTGATAGGTCTTATAACTAGTACTCGCATTTCATGGGATTCTTGCCAGAATGTGAAAAATTCACAAGTCACCCACACCCAAGCTGAAAGGGAGTTTGGCAATCTAGAATGCGGTTACTTCGAATTCTAAGAGCAAAAACTTCAAGCCGGTTGATCAGCAGTGTATACCGATTCACCGGTTGTCTAACATGCTGCAAAACGAGGTCCCGTTCATGATCCAAAAGAGGTATTAGAGGCACGTAAGCACAGCATTAATCTTTCTATTCAAGTATGCGCTTGCTTGTGGGGAGGACTTAAGAAGAATAGTTGAAGTTGATGTTGATGTTGACTGAACCCTAGTTTATAATTTGAGGTTTGCTACCCAACCTTTGTGGTTGGGGGACCCTACTAGCCCCGAGGGTTGGGGTTGTGCTTTGTGCGACTTCACCACCAAGATCAAGGTTTAGATGAACAGTCCAAGACCACTATACCTCTCTCAAGAGAGTTTCAATCAAACAACCAATCACTTTAATGCCCTGCTTAGTTACAAGCCCACGATACTAGACTTGGCTAGTTTATAATTTGATTAAGCAACAGAATGGTTGAAGTGAAAAGTTGTCAATGTCATATTCATTCTTTCTTTTCTAGTTTGGGCTTTGCCAAGATAGGTTTGATACTGATGGGCCACCAACTTTGTATTTGGTTTCAAATAGAAATGTGTTGGCTTGGGCTGCTTGACGCCAGTTCAATATAAATAAATAACAATAATAATTAAGGAATATTAACAATATTTTTACACGCCAGTTCAATATAAATAAAATGTTAATTTGAATACTAGAACATATGATCACATGATAGCAGACATGCATTTGTTCATCATGCACATGCATACATGTGAGTATATTTAGTTAGATACATGACCATGACCACAATTTTCCCCTCTGATTCTCACTGAAATAAATCCACATTATCAGCATAATAGAAGAGGAATTTGTGGAATCTAATCATTGCAGTCTCAAAATCCAACAAAAATAATGTTCTAATCTTCTTCGGCTGTTTATAATTAAGTCAATCTGTAATCAAGTGATTCAAGTCCAGCTAAACTATGCCCTATTAAGCTAATCACTTTTTCTTACAATCTGTAATGGACAGGCCAGCCACCAGAAGAAAGCAGTTCATGAAAAGGGGGAGACATGTTTATCCAAGTCAAAATTGATTAATCTAATTTGCTCAATGGCAGAGACATGTTTGACAAAACATTGGAGAGTACTACAGATCACTCTTTACCTCCAATGAGTCCTCATTTACAGAAATCTTTCGAACAACCGGTAGCCGCTGCACAGAACGTGTCATCATCATCTCCGCCTTGCCTACTTCATGAGCATTCTTTAATGGCACCTATTCTGTTATCAAGCCCAAGCCCACAAATATGTAAGAGAGAATTTCTCCAGCCAATAAATTCCAATTACATCATACAAAGACAGAAACATAGGATAATCAATTTAAGACCAAAACTGTGGGCAAACAAGTTAACCTTCTATTTCAAACAGTAACATACTATAATGAGAAGTTTCAATAAAATGCAAAACTAAAGTACCTTTGGCACTTAATGTTTCTATGCATGAGCATAATACTGAGCAGAACAGGGACCATCACTAAACACAAATGCTCCAAAGAGTGCCCACTGATAATGTAATGATTTGCATGGTAAATTTTCATGTCAGCAACAGCTTCAAATTTGGAGAGAAGGTAAACCCCTGTAAACAATTGCTTTTATAATTTGCATAGTCCAACATTCTCATGGGATAGGCAAGTTCTTAAAATAGACATCAAACATTCTGAAGCCGTATTCTGGACCATCCATTGTGAAAGTGAATTTTAAAAATATTTCCTTTGCCCAAAAAGAGAGGGAAAAAGAAATGCCTACCCAGTGTGTACTTGTTAAGATATTCTAATAAGCTACAGCTACAGAGGAATCAATTGACCATTTCTATTGTACTTCAATTGTGCAGGGAACAGCAAGTTCTTAAAATAAAATAAAAACAAAGATTATTAATGAATATGACGTACCTCCGGCCCAAAGCCAATATCTTGAGTGAGTATATTTGGGTGGAAACACAAAGCACATTCCTGGAATTGCTATACATGGAATCAACTGGAACATCATGTACAATCTGATATCATTATATGTTCTGCAACCAACTAGTGAACCATATTCAGTAAAAAGCACATGCGTACCTCCAAAATTAAGAGTTTAACAGAGGAAGAGAGAGGAGAAAATACAAAACTAACCTGTCATATGCAGTACTAAGAAAAGCAATGAAAAGGAGTGCAAATAGACAACTTAAACCGATCCTCTCTCCCACTCTCTCCACTATAAAACTAGAGAAAAGAGAGGAGTATGCAATCATCATCTGCAATTCAGAATCTACTTCAACAATTGAAATAAACAAAAGACTGTACATGATTAGGATCGAGATACTTGATTACCAACAAAATCATGTACCGTAATATTTTTATTAATATTTTTTCACTCACGCTCTTGTTGCTTTAAAAAAGTTGGCAAATCTGCTTTCAAGTAAAAATTTGCATCACATTCACATTCCCTTTTGAGCGAGAGTTTGATTGAACTGTTAAGATAGCACTTCTGTTTTTGTTGGTCTTGAATTTTATAGAATCGATAGTAAACTCTCTTCTTTTTTTAAATTATCTCCAAAAACCAAAAAACAAACAGAGCATATTGCACAGGTAGTTATCTAGAAACGAAAGCTCTTGAATGAGATTGAAATGCTAACCGGCAAGGTGTCCCACGTTACTCTACTATCATCGGGCTTCAAATGATAATAAGCAGACCCAAATGCCAGCCCTGCTATTCCAGCATAGAATAGTGCCCATCCCCAAACTTCACCATGCAAACTGAAACCAACCCGTTGCCAAACAAAACCAATCAAAATCAACTCCTCTGAAATCACTAGGAGAAAGATATCATTATACAAAGTAAGTAATTACAATGCAGAAGTACAGAACCTGATGTTGAAAAGGCCCCCTTGGCAACAAAGAACAAATCCCAGAACACCAACAACCAAAAAGGGGAAATTGGTGATCACATTCAATGTATTAGGCACTCCTATGAAAAACCCAGATAACAGAATCAAACAAAACATACATAGACAGTGAGAAAAGGAGAGAAAGATGAGAACTTTCAAATTTGGGTACCAAGGAAATTGCGCATGTCAGCGTAGAGATGGTGTTTTGGGGAGTGAGGAATCTTGGGAGTGACCAACATTAAGAAAACCCAACACAGAAACGCTCCTCCCCATATACGCCTTCTCTTCCCCCTAATTGCAAGCTTTTGAGTTGTCATCCACGCCATCTCCCTCTCTCCCTCTCTTTCCCTGTAAAGAAAAGGTCACTCCTATTCTGTCTCTGTGTGTCACTGCCTTTCCTCTTCTTCTAAATATTCGAATGTGTTTGTTGTAGTGCCAACCTTCTTTTGCGTTTAGATTTTGATTTTGGTTTTGGATTCGGTTTAACTTTTGATGATATTTTAAAATGGGACTGAACTTTTATCAAAAATAGCCAAAATTTAACTCCCAAATTCATAAATGTCAGTTTTTTAAAAAACTTTCAAATATAGCCAAAAACTCATTTAAATTGACCTAAATGCCCTCTAAATTATAACTCAATTACACCTAAAAGCTAAAACCCAAAATAGCATGGGAGCACAAAAACAAAATTGGCTTCGTCAACTTAATCATGCCTATGAATCCTATCATAAAAATGACAATGTAATTATCAAAAAGAAGAAGAAAAGGAAAAGCCGATGTTTTCATAAATCCAGGCAATAAAAATCATCTATGCGGCTATGGCTTGAATCAGTGGGGTTGAGAGTTTTTT